AGATATGTTTTTTTCTTTCTACATGTTATCTTAAGGGTTTTTCCATTGTTTTAGTTTTAGTATAACATTTTAATACCATTCATATTTTAACTTTTTTTATAATTTAAAGAAGAAACCAATCCGATGTATATTTGACATTTGAGGCTTAATACTATAGAAAAGCACTAAAGGTTTTTCAGTTAGAGTGTTTTCAGCTTGTTTATTTTCATATAAAAATACGGCATGCATCACCAATGGTATAAGCATCATTCAATGTAAATTGTGATAATCGTAATTAATAATCGCAATTACAATTTCAAGGGAATAATCGACAATTATCATTTTTGTCATAATCGTGCAGCCCTAATGTGAAGTGTTTGTCATGTTCCGACCGTAAAGAGTAGTTTAAAACCACAATTAACTGCCTGGTTTCTACAACTTTCCCTATGGAGAAAAAAATCTAACTTTAAACTTGAAAGAAATAAAGATGTGAAATTTATTTTACCGATAATTACCGATATCGACTGAAATGAAAATTTTTATTGTGATAATTTTTTTTTGGCCATATCGCCCAGCCCTATATGTGTTACTATGAAAATTAACATGGCAACCCCAAACACATCTTGGATGAATATATGGATAAGGTCACACCATTTTAACTGTTCCAAGTTCAAGTTTAAAGTAATGTTTCCATTAAAAAATTTTAACGTTCATTTTCAGACATTTAACATCACACACTGATTATATTTGAAAGCAGAAGTGAAGATTTTGAGCAAATAACATCTTGAAACCTTTAGCTGTGTCCCAATTCAGTGGCTAAATCCTTCAAAAGACGCAGACTTCAAAGGCCACTATATGAAAAAAATATTTTTAAAAAATTGCATCTTTTGTAAGATATGTGACAACATAAAAATTAACTAGGCCTACTTTAAACGACCTAAATTCTAATCTAAAATCATTATATATTTGTGTAAACTGAAAACCAATACATTTAAAATGTAATCTGGCATATTACTCTCAAAAAAATAAAAAGTAGTTTTATTTTTTTCGCGCAATGAAATTTAGGATAATATGGGCTGCAAAGGATCACTTTGTTGCGTCCTTCATGGCCCGGGAAACCTTTGAAAAGCCTCTTTGAATGCATCCTTCAAAGGATTCGGCCTCTGATTTGGGACACAGCTTTTGGGTCATCAGCACACTGAAGTTATCTTGAGAAGACTTGGAATATAGTACAACATAAGCTCTATGGACTACTTTTATGTTCCTTGTTTCTGTCATTTTTGGAGCCAAGCAGCCATTGTCCCCATTCACTTTACCTGTCAGGAAAACAGCAGCTTGGGCATTCTTCAAAATTTCTCCTTTCGTGTTTTACAGAAAAAAGAAAACATTTGGTTTTAGAATGAACTGAGAGTGAGAAAATGATGACAGAATTTTAATGTTGGGACAAACTATTCCTTTGGTTAAATAATTCATAAATAATTAATGCATGGACAACTACGTGTGTGAGCAATTGGGACACATTATCAAACTTCTTTAGTCTCCGGTCTAATAGTAACTCCATCCATATGGCTTTGTGAATATTTCAATAGTTCAGAAAAGCTGTCAGTGTTTGTCCTGGCTTCAGAGGAGGCCTTCTGAGAATGCAAAGGGATATGGCATTGCAACATGATTAATAAAACATGTCAAAATCCACTCTATTAACTCCATTAAGGGTTGACACCTGGAAGACGACACTGGGCCAGCCTTCAACAGCCGCATGGCATCTGTTCATCAATCTGTCCCGATAATCAATCCATCACTGGTCCGCACATCTAATATGGATCACAGAGACTTTCTGACATCAAAACATAGTTCAGGTGTCTATATTTTACTCTTAACTTAGTGTCACTCTCCTTCAATGTATTTTTATGGGCACCCAATGCAATTCTAATTTAGTTCCATTCAATTTCATTCAATGAAATGGGTGACGTCCTGAGATAGTAATACTATAAAAAAAATGTAACAAGGTGAAATGTATCAGGGTTGACAATTTTACAGTTAATTTATCATTATTAGCATCTTGCTCAATGTCAAAAGAGTACAAAGTGTGTTTTATGCTGATAATTACGCTGATATTTCACCACACATCCGGTTTACAATAATTACTTGTCATCATGGTAATTGTGAAGACTATTTAAAATCATCCATTATTGATAAACAAAATGTAAAATGAAATTACAAAAAGACAACACATGTGATTGAAGAGTTTACATGATGATGTCAATGTATTTTTTTTAATCTAAATCATTTTAGTAGGGGAAGATTACGATGGAAACAAGTTTGACACTAAACATGGGATCACAGACTTAAGTCTTTTTAATACGATATTATGCCCACTAAAATCTGACACGTTTACACACACACACACACACACACACACACACACATATATATATATATATATATATATATATATATATATAAACATGTATTTGCTAATAAATCTGCTAAAAGTAAAAATAAATACAAACACAGAAACAGGCCAAAAAGGCAACATGGAGAAAGATGATGAAAATAAAACAAACAATTACAAAAATAAAATCTATTAGATAGTTGTCAATAAAAAGCCTACAACAGAACGTAGTAGAAGTTGTTGTCAGTTTTGCATTTGTAAAGTCATTGTTTACAAGTTCATTAATCATACAACAGACTCATGACAGTTCTTCAGATAGTTTATATACTAATTAAATCACTTTCAAATTGGTTAGCAACATCATAATCGGTTTCAAACCAGTTTTCAGTGAACTTTGACCATGCAAACACTTGTGTTTGAACATCACAGTCCGTGCATAAGACTTTATAAACACAGTGTCATCTGATGAAGTCTGTATTTCATTTAATCAAAACATCCCAATAATGTGACATCCAGACCCTTGTTACAATGAACAACCATAGTTTCTGTTTCAAAGCTACCCACACGACTCAGTATCAGCAAACTGAGCTGAACTGCACTGTGCAACTGCAACATGTATCCACAACTCAGCAAAATGATCCATCTTACCTTCTGTCAGCCATGTTCTTCACATTGTTTGGACTAATGGAAGTGAAAGCAGTGAGATGTGTCCTCTGGCAGGAACTGAGGCTGTGAATGCGGAGCTCAGGCTCTCTGTCCCACTGGAGTTTGAGGCAGACGGTGTGGGTTATTCCCCCGCCCTCTTCAGCACGGGCCATGCTCGAGAGTAATCTGATCTCTACTGCAGCCTGCTGTAGTTTCACTGAGGCAGAATGAGTGCTCACAGTCAGTCAGTGCGCACAGTTTGGCGAGTAGCGCCATCTGCTGGCGAGTCTGGGCAGTACAAGTTGCCTGCTGTGTCACAATGGTGCTGTAGTAGTACAGTAATATTTTTCACACGAGTATGTGCGGCTCGTTTTAGTACGGTGCAGAGGATACTCTTAATTTACGAAGATGATTATAATATTATCATATAAAAAATGACTAAATATCACGCGGGCAAGAGTGTTGTTGTACCGAATATCAGAATAATGTGCAATTTTGATATTGATAATATTTTACAAAACAAGATCAGGTTGGACGCCATATCTCCAGTGTTGGGGAAAGTTACTTTTAAAAGTATTGCATTACAATATTGCGTTATATCCTTAAAAAAAGTAACTAATTGCGTTACTTAGTTACTTTTTATGGAAAGTAGGCTAATGCATTACGTTACTTTTTCTCATCTGCCTTGGCCTCATTTTTTCTTCAGAAACAAACAAACAAAAATAAACACAACTGTTTTCTTATTAGTATGGTTGATCATTGAAGGTCAGCAGCAAAGATGCTGGTTAATAAAATGGAATTAAATACATAAAGGATGTTTGTGTTATTTAACATGTTTGTATTCATTTTGAGGAATACTGAATCTGTTTTTGTGCGTTACCCCCAACTGTCACGAATCCGGTTCATGGACTTCCGTCCAATTACCGCCAAAGGTCGCTCTTCCATTTTAATGACTCTCTCACTACACAGACTTTCACATGTCAACCCGGACTACATTTCCCAGCAGCCATTTCACTAATCACACGTTCACCTGAAACCAATCACACACACTATATAACACCCCAGATCCTGTTCAAACTGCCGAGTATTGTTTAAGTGTTTATGCTGTTTAGTGTAGCTACTTTACAGAGCCAATTCCCTGTCATTGTTTGAGTTTTCCATAGTCTAGTCATAATCTTGCCTTGCCTGTTTTCTCGTGTTCTGATTCTTGCCTGCATCCTGGATTACCCCTCTCGTCTCGCCCTGTTTGGATACTGATTACCCCTCGCCTGGACCATCGCCTGTGTTTGAATTAACCCTTTGGATTACCCTGTTTGGACATTGTTCTCTGGAGATCGACCACACCCGTTTACTGGGCTATTCTTGTGTCTTGCCCTCAATATACCTGTTGCCATTGTCTGACCCTCGCCTGTTTCTGACCACGCCTTTGAATAAAAGCTTTGCAAATGGATCCGCACGTCTCTCGTCCCTGTCGCCTCGTCACCAACACTGCATATCTCAGCCTCGTTTTCATTCCTGTCATGAATTAAATATGGCTCTACCCTGACTAAGGTCTAAAACTTACATTTTAGACACAATATTGACAGTTACTTAGCCTGTTTTTGCTCCCCAAATGAAAATAGTTCAATAAGAAGCCAATAGCAGAATAAAGCGTTGTAACTCCCCGAAAACAGGTTTTCTGAGTCATTCAGTACTTTGGAACGAATCGGTTAATTGAATGATTAATTGACTCCTAATACACAAAATGTCGGCATCTACTGGCATAACCTACAAGAATCCATAATAATAATAATAATAATAATAATAATAATAATAATAATAAATAAATATATATAAAATTTAATTTTATAAAATTGCATAGTTATGTATTCTGATTAACTATAATAATGTAAAAAAATATTTAAATTATTTAAACATGACCCTTTTGAATATCACAAGAGAACACATGTCACAAACAATGGAAAAAAAGACCAATACAAAGCAATTTTAGCATTCAACACTTTATTCACAAAGTAATGAGCACTATCAAATGTTCACTGGTAAACCAAACCAAAAATATAAGTATGATAAATCTATAGAACTGTACAAGACTTTGTTAAAACCATCTCATCTCTTTTTTAAATTCCTTTCAAAAACAGCCGTCCATTTGAAAGTGCCAAAGGAAAATTTCTCCTCTCCACATTGTCTCCTATCCTCCAGTTTATGCACAATACATCTTTATAATAATTATGATGGTTTTTAAAACAACCATACACAATCTCAGTTGTGGATGATATACACTGATATGAAATATGTGAACAGACCTGTACTGATGAAGTATCCCAGAGTATGTGGACTGATCAGGGATCAGATTATTACCCTCTTGAACATTATAATCTCAATCACAATCATCACCAAACCAAACTGATCTCAAAACAGGGATGGATGAAATACATCTGGAAGGTAATAATTTAAACAACCGTAGATACATCACCATAAAAAAACTGAATATGTGTATTAAAGAACTATTAAAAATATGCTGCATAAATAAACCTCAAGATGGAGTGATATCTTTATGTCTGGCGGTCAGTTTAGCTTCAAATGTGTAATAAAAAATATCCTTTAACCATTTACATTGCAAACACACATTAAAATACATACATATTTCATATATTTGCTCTGATATTTGTAGCATTGTGTATAGCAAAAGTTTTAAGAACAAGCTAAGGTTACAAATATGACGTGGGATGTTTTGTACATCAAAATTTCTTTCTCAGTGTGCTTGGGGAAAACATACATTTTTTGTCAAATACGTCAAATGAACCATTTTTCTTTTTTTATTGGTTAATTGGTTCAACTTGTTATACTGCAATAAGCAGCCAGGAAACTGTAAGAAATTTAGATTTAGATTTTTTTCTATTGAACAAAAAAAACTTTTTGAAATCAAATGAAATCAGAAAGCTCCATTTAATTACACTTAAATTCACTTTTGACATCAGATACAGCATGTTCACTCTCACACAACACACAAACACACACATTCGCCACTGACCTGTCTGAGGTGTTGTTCAGTGACGTTATACGGCTGTAAAAGACATTGTCCCACAAAGTGAGACATCTTCTGGAGACACCAAAAAAGAGAAAAGCAGCCATCAAGAATTATGTTGCAAAACCGGTTTCAAACTGAGTCAAGTATGAACGGTCACAACAACTCAATCCTTGTGGAGTTTTACTGCTATTAATTTTAACCCCCAGCCTTCCCAAATCCCATCAAAAAAGATGAAAGAATAAAAACAGAGTAAAGAATCGAAGTTAAAAGATAAAAATGTGCTCTGTTCAAAGCCTAGCCGATCTCATGGACAAGTTGGGAAAACAGTCCAACTGTAGATGGAAATGTCACTGCGCTTCTGAGGCCAGTCCATAATGGAGCGAGGGATCATACAGGAGAAGAAAAACAAACTGTATGCTGGCATTAAACATTCTCTTCCTTCACATCCATCAAATTTAGAAGTATTTTGCGATGTCTGTCTGAGATGGGACGGTATGAGTGAGAGGATTATTACATAAGAGTCAAACCGTTTCCTGCAAAATGTCATTGCAGTCACAGTGGGCGGAGCTTAACCTTCCTGTCCGTCTCTGAACAAACTCCTCCTTTTCCTCCTCATCACCGTCCCTCCCTTCTCTCTGTATGTCCCCTTTCAGTTCTCCAAGAGGAGTGTCCCAGCCTGCATTGTCCACTTGTGACCCGACAGGTCGCATGGGATGTGATGAAGGCGAAGGAGGAGAAGAAGAAGAAGAAGAGGGACGTTCCACTTGGTTTAGCCCCAAAGCGTCTCTCAAGATCTCAGCGCCAGCTTCCTTCAATAAAAGAGCGGGTGTGGCCAGAGTGGTCAGGTAGATGGCTGAAGCGGATTGGCTGGAGGACACCAGAGCGTGGCCTCTTCCTGTTTGTCCGTCGTCAGGGCGGCGTGGAGAGTACGGTTGGTTGTCATTGCTGAGGAGCGTGAACATGTGGTCCACGGAGCGGCTGAAATGAGCCCAGTTCTCGAGGCTGAGGGTGAAGTTGAGTTTGAGATCGTAGGCGTGCTCATCAAGTCTGTACAAAGGTTCAAGTTCGGACCAGTTCGGCTCACCGGGAAACATGTTGGTGTCTTCCGGGACGTCCTCGTTCCATGAGTTATCCTTCCCATCCTTCCCATATCTGTCCTCTGTGGGGGAACACAGCCACAAAGGTTAAACGTTTTCATCCAGTGACAAAACAATTTAAGGCACTGATTAAAAGTGGATGCATCAAAATGGAGATGGATGCTTGTGATTGTAAAAACAGAAAATAAACAACAATCAAAAACCCTGAAAAGGCTTATGATGGTGAAGGAGGGAAGTACGAAAATGTTTCAGGCTTCGAGTGAGATGAGGTGAAGATGATGAGGGGCAAGTGATGGGAATCTTCCCTCGTGCTCAGAAACAAAACTGCTAGTTTTCCAAACAGTTCCCATGCAGATAGTAAACTAATGCTGTATCATGCAGGCCAGGCAGATGCATTCAAGAGAAAGGAAATTAAAAAGAAAGCGAGAGAACGGTGATTCAGACAAGGTAGTGGCTTGGTGGCATTGTATCCTATGGACGAGAAGCAGAATTATTATCCAAACTCACAGCGATTTGGAGACAGGCTTCCTCACTTTAGGCCATTTCCGACGCTGAAACTGCCTAATGCGACAAGCAACGATAAGATAAACTGTTACCCCGCCCCCAAACACAAGCATATGATAGAGACAGAGCCAATCAGAGAACTGAAGGCTTTCACATTCACACAACAACACCCAAGGCTGAATACATGCAAGGCACAGAATAGGGCTAGAGAGAGGGAGACAAAACAAGAGAGGCAAAGACAGAGAGAGAGAACAGAATCTGAAGGAGAAGACATCTGATCTGTCAAGGAAGTAACCGCGAGTTGGAATGTTTGCAATCGGACCCACATATTGAATGGGTGGGTTTGGTTGGCCATGACGTTTATAAGAACTAACTATTAGCTTAGAAAAAGGTATATCTACATTACTGGTCACAGGTATGGGGTCAGTTTCTCTATTCTACCAGTTACCACAGAAAATAATATCAGCGTGTTCCTCAGTTTGTAAAAATGAAAAAAGAGGTTTGCTTTTACTGATTAATCTGTGCCACCAGTTACCAATTTTATTTCATTTTTTGTTTATAAGAACTAACTATTAGCTTAGAAAAAGGTATATCTACATTACTGGTCACAGGTATGGGGTCAGTTTCTCTATTCTGCCAGTTACCACAGAAAATAATATCAGCGTGTTCCTCAGTTTGTAAAAATGACAGAGGTTTGCTTTTACTGATTAATCTGTGCCACCAGTTACCAATTTTATTTCATTTTTTCTTTCGTCCTTTCTTGTGCATCATTCATATATTTCATGACAATACTATAAATAAAAGAAAATAAAAATGGTCAACGTGTCAGTGATTTTTAAAATTCAATTCAATTTATTTTTGTTTTACTCAATAATCATTAAGTATGTATTGTTAATTTTTGTACCAATAATTAGCACTATTTTATATTGCATTGACATTTTTTTCTTATTTTTATATTTTGTTTGTAGTTTTCCCAACTTAATTATCAGCTAAATTTATTGGTCATCCTCTAAAAACAAGCAAAAATAGTTTACAGTAAAACCCTTACAATTAAGTCTGTGGAGCAAAGACGGGATACTCTGTGCTCGGTAACTTTCACATAATAAATGTAAGGACACCAGAAAGACACTTTCTGTGGAAAAACTGCAGGTTAGTGACTGGAAGTTCATCCACTTAGAGTCTGCATTAAAGGGCGTTTTAGACAGCTGTACAACTTAAATAACGCATAAGCATTAATATGTGTTTTTAAAAATACCAGAATATCTTGCGGCACAGACTTCCATTGTACGTGCATTACTAAATACTTGATTTTTATTTTACTGAAGAATAAGTTATTATTATGCATTCTGACTTATTCTAGAGTAGAGCCAAACTTGTATTTAACCTGCAACATTCCTTTAACAGCAAATTGATATCAAATCAGTTATAGTTTCTACGTCATCCTCTATAACAGAGAGGTCTTCTCCTTGATTTCACATTGAGGAGTGAATTCCTGTGATGCCTTTAGGTGTGTGTGATGTGCATCAGACTATTCAACATTCACATTTAAGCTCCAAGCTGTCTACAACAGAACTGCAGAAGTGGATTAGTATCTTCATCATTCTCACAGTAGCTGTCTAGTCTACAACGGGGTTAAATTCATTTGGCACTGATACCTGTATTCATCATAGCTGCTTCTCTCTTTACCCCCTGAAGAAGAGACAATATCATTAGTTAGAGAGTGTCAAAACAATGTGATGTACAGCTCCATTAATGTATAAGATCCTCACGAAAGCATCACTGGAAAAACAACTCTGGGCTTCTGTCCAAGGGTCATGTGGAAGGTCACAGTGCCAAGATTAGATCATCCATTGTTGTGGATGGAGTTGCAAGGCTTGGAATAAATTAGCTTGATAAAAGTAATTTGGTCTTTTGGAAAATAACGAATCTGCTGGCTCAATATGCAGATGCACAGTATTAACGTTCACCTTGAGCTGATGAATTGCAATTCTGATCCCTTTCAGATGGCTTTCATGCACAATAAAATCTCAACTGACTTTTTTATGGCAAGCTCAATCTGTTGTGTTAAACTAAGCTTCTCAAACAAGTCAAGCAATGCTAAATGTAAATACCAAAATGCAACTAACAATAAAAGTGTGCACAGTTAGCTACTTTTTTAAGGAAGAAAAAGCAATTCCCATAATATCCAAGAAAACCTTTTATATTATTTTTGTACAAATTCATCTGTCATTTTATCAAATTATGTATATGTTATCACTGACAGGTTGTATGATGAAACAATTTAACGTAAAGGAAAATATGAGCTAGACTATAATAAATAAAGGTTGTTTTGCTGTTTAAGCACACTGCTGTTAAAAAGTTTGGGGTCAGAAGATTTTTTGATAGAAAAAAACACATAATAATAAAATATTTTACAATTTTACTGTATTTTTGATTGAATAAATGGAGCCTTGGTGAGCATAAAGCCCCGTTCACACCACAAAAGTTTGGGGTCAGAAGATTTTTTGATAGAAAAAAACACATAATAATAAAATATTTAAAAATTTTACTGTATTTTTGATTGAATAAATGGAGCCTTGGTGAGCATAAAGCCCCGTTCACACCAAGAACGATAACTATAAAGATAACAATATTAGCGTCCACACCAGCGAACAATATCGTCGGTTTATTCTAATGGTGCGTTCAAGTCATGTCGGATAGATCGTATTTACAAGTTGAACGCACATGAACGCCACCACAAAGTTGTTATTACGAGTGGGATACTCGAAATTTTCTTTAAGCCCCGAGTTTTCGAGTTGGGGGAGTGTCAATGAGAAACATGGCGGAATCGATGGATGCAACGTCTGTAGTTGACAGTAAATTTTTGTTTAAATTGATAGTTTAGTTGTCCTATAAACTTAAATTGGTCATGTTCTTGTTACGCAGCTAGTTAATGAAATCCAAGTAAAAAAAATGCTATAATTTTTGCACCTATAGGTGAAAAATCTTTTGATTTGCCATGTTGCATGTTGCATTTAGCTAACAGCTTTTTTTAATCTCTGTATTTTAGCGTTTGTTGATGCTGAAAATCAGTCATACTGGGATCCTGGTCTAAAAAAATGATTAAAAACGCAAAACACACCTGATGCGAATTCTTTGCTCTTCATTTTCTATAAGCAGAGTTAACAGACCCTGTTGTATTTTCTTGTAATTTATTAAAAGCCATCTTGTGCCGACTAAACTGACTTGAACGCACCTGACGTCGTAATTACGACTTGTCAACTCGTAAGTACGAACGTCCCAGGAGGACTTGAACGCAGCATAAGTGCACATGCGTCTGCCGCTTTAAATTTTTTGGGGAAAAAATCGTTCTGAAAATGATTCCAACGATATCGCTTCTCTGTCCCTATATTGTTATAGCTGTGGTGTGGACTCTGTTATTCTTTAATATTGAGAACGATTTTTAGAACTATATCTTTATCGTTATCTTTATAGTTGTCGTGCTTGGTGTGAACGGGCCTTAAGAGACTTCTTTCAAAAACATTTAAAAAATCATATAACCCCAACCGTCTGAACGGTCTATTCAGCCTTTCTATGTCCCCCCCCCCCCCCCCCCCCCCCCCCCCACTTCCTCAGCTTCTTCCTGCGCTTTTGTTCCAACAATAACCAGGCCTTCTTACCCTTCTCCTGTCCTTTCCTACAGAGACAGAGAGAATCATCAAAACTGTAATCATGCATCCATACACACACACACACATATAGACACAGAAACCCACCTGAAGGGATGGACACCCCCTGCTTTGTATTTCCTCAGTTTACTCTTGTACATGGATTTGTAACTAAAAGAGAGGAAAAATTTAGTGAGTCATCACTAAATAGAATTTTAACCAGAATATATAAAAAGAATACATAATGTACACAATACATAAATAATTATTTTCAAATATTCAGTATCTGATATACTGATTACATATTAGAATTTGTAATAATCATCAAAACTGTAATCATGCATCCATACACACACACACACACACACACACACATATAGACACAGAAACCCACCTGAAGGGATGGACACCTCCTGCTTTGTATTTCCTCAGTTTACTCTTGTACATGGATTTGTAACTAAAAGAGAGGAAAAATTTAGTGAGTCATCACTAAATAGAATTTTAACCAGAATATATAAAAATAATACATAATGTACACAATACATAAATAATTATTTTCAAATATTCAGTATCTGATATACTGATTACATCAACAACATGATGCATATCAAAGTACCATAGCATTGCCATCTGATACCGTACCATACCTTTTTTTTTATAGAAAGCCAGCTCTCTTGACATAACTCATGGCAAATTATCTTAATCTTACTCGTTCTTATAAAATATTATTATCTCATTCCTGTGTGACTGAGCTATATTTGACAGTGTCTGCTCGTAAACACAATTTGTTTGACACCATCAACACCCATTAACTTTTCACTAAGATGCCTATGTGTGCGTGGATGTGTGTGTTTATATGCCGGAAGTAAAAGGTGAACATTCTGCGTGCCCCCTTCATGTCGGCATTCTTACTCAACTCTAATAAACACAAATCCACCTCGTAAAAAAGAGAAACATAAATTACACAGTGCTTGGAGCTGCACACTATCATAGAGATGAGATAAACATTTTTGTCGCTTTTAGTGGCCTTGCTGTTAAAGACATGGACTTGTAAATGAAAGAATGAACCTATAAGTGCCAATCCAGCATTCAGTGTGAACTGTATTATTGCACAGCTCTATGTATACAGTTGGATATATACAGTGCTGATTAACCGATTATATGTAATCCGGTTTGTGAACAACATGATGCATATCAAAGTACCATAGCATTGCCATCTGATACCGTACCATACCTTTTTCTTTATAGAAAGCCAGCTCTCTTGACATAACTCATGGCAAATTATCTTAATCTTGCTCGTTCTTATAAAATATTCTTAGCTCATTCCTGTGTGACTGAACTATATTTGACAGCGTCTGCTCGTAAACACAATTTGTTTGACACCATCAACACCCATTAACTTTTCACTAAGATGACTATGTGTGCGTGGATGTGTGTGTTTATATGCCGGAAGTAAAAGGTGAACATTCTGCGTGCCCCCTTCATGTCGGCATTCTTACTCAACTCTAATAAACACAAATCCACCTCGTAAAAAAGAGAAACATAAATTACACAGTGCTTGGAGCTGCACACTATCAGAGAGATGAGATAAACATTTTTGTCGCTTTTAGTGGCCTTGCTGTTAAAGACATGGACTTGTAAATGAAAGAATGAACCTATAAGTGCCAATCCAGCATTCAGTGTGAACTGTATTATTGCACAGCTCTATGTATACAGTTGGATATATACAGTGCTGATTAACCGATTATATGTAATCCGGTTTGTGTAATCAAATTTAGTTTTAAAATACTTGTATTTTGATTACATGATTACATATTATTCAAATGGTCACATGACATGCAGGTAAACAGGTATAATATTTCATATATTTATAAAGTGTTTTATTTTGATAGTTGTAGTTAAAAATGATTTAATTGAAATTTGTATGATTTAACTAAATATTAGCTTTTTATTAAACTCATGAACCCCCAGAAGTTCCTTCACAAACCCCAGTTTGGGAAACTGTGAGGTAATATAATGTTTGATGCACTTTATGTTGTTAATAACAACAAATGGAATATATTTCTTTCTTTCCGATGGCTTGATGCTTTTATGCCGTTAAATGTAAACTATATTATCGTCTGGCTCTAATCTGCTAAATGCAACTGTAAGACATGAAGATTTTAAAATATTATAAACATCAACATCATGATTTCTGTAAAGCTACTTTGAAACAATGTGCATTGTGAAAAGCACTATACAAATAATTTTGAAAAAATGCACTGCACTATAAAATATATATTATATATAAAGTAAATATTTTACAAGGTATTTTGGAATCTAAAATTGCTATAAAATCAAAGCCACGTATCTAACTAGTTTACATTCCAAATTTGAAGTTGACATCATAAAAAACTAACAAACAAACAGTTGATGGTAGCCATTGACTTCCATATTATGGCTACCAGTCAATGGCTACCAGCAACTGTCTGGTTACCAACATTCTTTGAAATATCTACTTGGAACAATGTGAGGGTGAGTAAATGATGAAAAAAATATATATTTTTGGGTGAACTATCCCTTTAAGTAAATAAGGTATTAAAACAATGCAGACAGCATGTGCACACAAACAACACGTTCTCCAGGCGCAATTTCCCCTTTTTCTTGGTTTGAAATTTAGACTTTTTCATGCTTTGCATAGGTGTGAAGGTAACGGCAGACTGTTCCTTGATCAAAGCAGAAAAGCAGATGGAGGAACAAAGCCTGACACAAAAAAGAAATAAAGAGATGGAGAAAAGAGAAAGGAATGGAGAGAACAGATAATGCAGGAACGGGCTGCAGGTCCCTGGAGGACTACAGTGGGCCAGTCTTGTTAGAGTGAAAGTAAGAGCATGAAATATCAGGTGTCTGATCTGACAGCCCAGACATCTCTCTGCTCTCACTTCTGTTTCATAAAATAGCTCACACACACACACACACACACACACACACACACACACGTACTTGTGAGGGTCTTTATATGCCAAAAAGTATTATCATGTTTTTGGACATGGTGCCATGGTAATATTATGATATTATTAAAATGCCTGTTTATTAAAGTGTAGTACCTCAGTACTAATGGTTAGAAATTTGCTAAATTATTAAAATGCCCCTATTATGCCGTTTTTAAGGTTCCTAATATTGTTTTGGGAGTCTCCTGCAATAGGTTTAAATATGAAATTTAAACCAAAATATGCATTTAATTTCACCTCATTTCCCAATGATTCTCAAACGATTCGTTCGAAGCAATTCAAGATTCAGTCTCTCTAAACCCCTCCTGGGTCAGATGGCCCAGTCTGTTGTGATTGGTCTACCGCGTACAGCACATTTCGGAAACTAAACGCCCATTGCCATAGTTCCGTATTTTGAACGCTTGATAGAAAATATAAATATCTATTATTTATCATACTTACAGGTTGTGATTCAGTGGAGTTAGCTGGTCCAAATAAACTGGGTACTGAGCCATCTTTCAAGAGCGAGCGTTTTGTTAAATAACCTTTGTCTATAAACATTTTAAGTTTTTACTCTACTCTTGCATTTTAATGTTACCTTTTGAGAAATGTAATCAGATTGCAAGCACCGTTGACTTCCTTTAGCAAGAGCTGTCCTTGAGTTCATTTTGAGCGAATCAATAAGTGACTCAATAAATGTGACTCTGTTTTTATCACTAGAATGATCACTTCTGCTAAAAGCTCATTTCAGTCACATCCGTGTGGATTTGATGACTTCGAGAGCATGGAGTACATGTCAGGTACAACTAAGGACATGGTAACATCGTCAGACAGCATGCTGTGTGGCACATGTTTACCCTTCAGGACAGCAGCTCAGGAGGTGACGGTACGCGTTTCTGTTTGCATATAAAACAAGGAGGACAGGAAGCAAGGCAGGGCCAGGGATCAGGTGAGGATGATGATGATGAAGATGTGAAACTCCATGTTATCCTTTGCCTTGGTCCTTTCAGAGGGAAGTGTGTGTGTGTGACACATGTATTAGTCAGTGTGTTGCAACCTCTGGGCAAGATGCCTAGCAGAATGATGCAGCAGTGTGTATGCATACAGTATATGTTTGTGTGCGCTGTGGAGGTATTTTCATTTATGTGTGTGTGTGTGTGTGTGTGTGTGTGAGTGACTCACCCATATCGAGGCTGCGTGTACGAGGGTTACACTGCTTGTGTCCCTTACAGCCCCTGAGCTCCATGAGCTGAACATGCAGTTGATTGAGAACATACCGATCCAGTGTGTTCACTGCATTCACCAACTACACATTCAGTGTGAGAGAGAGAGATTTTTCATTTTTGATAACATTTTGGACTAAATATTGTCACAGTATAAGAATTTCCAATTTTACTTCTGTTCCCATTTCAATATTTATTTAGACCAGGGACATTTATTAAGAAAGTAAACATGGTCCATGGTGATTTCATGTTGTCTTTATGTCTATGTTGTCTATATGAGCACTGACCTGATATGGATCCGTGTTTATGTCAAAGTATTCCAGAAATCCAGTGGCAAATTCACAGAACAGGAAGTTGTGTGTCTCATTAATGGTCCTCATGCACCAGTAGCTGTTGTTATTGGCACTAGTGCACGCACAAAACGGCCCCACTGGAAACAAAGATGAAAAGTGTGAGACAAATCAATTCACACGTTTTCACTCCCAAATTGACACATATGAACGCTTGGTAGGGACCCCTTGGTGTCACTTTTTTACAAACTGGCCTTCTCTTTAGCTTCTGTTTTTAATGCGCAGGGAACCCCATTACTTCAGTTGTTTGCCTTATGCGTCAGATCCAGATGCATTTAATTCTTTGCATGCAGTTGTAAAAGCAATATTTTTTTTATGGTAACACTTTCATTTTAAGGACCTATTATCACTATAAACTAGCATGCATATTACTAGCATATTGGCTGTTTTTTAGTGCTTATAAAGCACATTTGAATGCCTTATTCTGAATCCATATTTTAGTCACAAGTATTTATTTCAAAGACTGACCAGAAAACAGTAGAAATGCTTTACAAATTTCATGTGTTGTAGTCTTCAAAATTACTGGGTCTGTTTAAGTTGAAAATCATACTACATAATATATATCATAATGACAGTATAGTACTCTAATATATAATTTCAAGACAATAAATCTCCCATGCTCTTCCTGTCTGTGTATTGACGCAAAAGGTTTCTCAATGAAAGTAATGGAGTAACCTGCATGCTGAAAAATCATGCTAATTGATCCAGTCCAGACTCGCAGACAGACTGTGTGTGTGTATTGTGAATCGCGTGTTAAACTCCCAAAGATTAGAGAAGCAGTCGAACACAAAAAAAGATTGAGGTTGTACTGTTGTGGTACAGTGGAATAATGAATTTTAACCACTGATTCTTTGCTGCTTCATCTTTGGGAAGTGACAATAAAACTAATTTACTTTCACAGCGTCTTCTTGACATGACGTTAACCACACGAACAAGCTGCAGTGTTTGAGGGGGCGGGTCAAGTTGTTCGCGGCCAGCAAACGGAGAACATTGTGCAGAGGTGTTACCCAGTGACGTGTATCCGTCCGTCACGGAAGTGAGATTCGAATTACTGATGACTCGTTTAGGCTGTTCAGAGTCGATTCTTTCTTTTGGGAGACAATAACTTTATTTATCGTGCACTTTTGGCTTTGCAGATCGTTTACATTCACATACAGCTACATTGCACACTGCATGAAAGGCAATATTCAAAATGTGTCACGGGGCTGACGAGACGAGAGGCGTGCGGATCCATGTGCAAGCTTTATTTAACAAGAGAAGTGGTCAAACACAGGCAGGGTCGATCAATGGCAAACAGGTATATGGCGGGCAAAACACAAGAATAGTCCTAGGGCTAGCGTAGGTCACTGATCGGCAGACAGAATCACAGGGGCGAGACGAGAGGGAAAAATCCAGGAAAACAGGCAAAGATCAGAAACCGAGAGAACAGGCAAGGCAAGGCAAAACAAGGAAACACAGAGACTCGGAACGGGGTACAGGCTAAACAATACTCAGCGGAGAATGGTTGTTTGAGTGGGTGTTATATAGCGAGTGAGTGATATGAAACAGCTGTGTGCAATCAGTGCAATCAGTGCAGTGTGTAATCAGTGCAATGAATGATGGGCTATGTAGTCCGGGGTGCTATGCAACAGTTTGTGTTGTGCGAGAGTCAATGTAACGGAAAGGGTGACCTCTGGTGGTGAATGAACGGAAGTTCATGGACAGGATTCGTGACAAAATGGCATAATAGGGGCACTTTAATATATTTTAAAATTTAATTTATTCCTGTGATGAAAAGCTGGATTTTCAGCATCATTACTCTAGTCTTCAGTGTATTCATATATAATAATATATAGTTGTTTTACATTATTGTTTTTACTAATATGATTGATTATACATAAATCATAAATTGTAAATTATTCATAAAATAACTTGATGAAGTATTAAAAATAAATAATAAATAAATCACTGTAGTGTTAAAATAATAATAAATATATCACAATGTTAAGGTGTTTTTCCTGAGTGGTGGGTAATAGTAGTTCACAGACATGCTGGTTCTGATGGCATTAGCTGTTGAAGGCATAGCTCATGAATATTTATTATGTTATGCACAAACGATTGAACATGAGATTTTAGTGTTTTAAATAGTCTATGTGACATATTGAGGTCAGCAGTAGAGTTTTTGCTCATTTGCAAGTCAAAATTGAAAGGCAAACAATAACATTATGATGAGGAATGTCCAAAAATCATCTACACAACAATTTCTCCAGCACATCGAGCTGCTATTTGTGACATTTCATTTGATAACTTCATCCCTACATTTGCTGCTGTCGGCTCTCAGGATTTTGTAGGTCAATGAATGCATGCATCAACAAACGAAAGTTAAGTCTGAAACGCTGGACTTGTGGTAATGTGGAGAAGTGGGTTGTAATCCTGTCTGCAATGTATTATTTTAATGTCAGAGATTGTCAGGAAAACAAGAAGAGGAAGGATTCTTCTGTGTGTTTGTTGTTGTACCTGACCGATCTGTTCACATGGCGTCTGGTACTCTGCGCGCTGGCACAGGTCTTTAACACGCTGGTATTTGGGCAGGTAGTTCTCCTCCTGGGCAATATCCTTCCCATCATTCAACACTTTATGCAGCAGTTTTCTGTCACCAGAGAAGTAAAGAAAAACCTCATGTTATCTGAATAAACATACGCTGACCTTTCACACCAAAAACCCAGAGCTCTCCGGCTGTTTTCACATTTAATTTGCGCTGACTCACCCTCTCTCCACCAGGAACGAGTCCCTCCACACTTTTCCTTTCTTGTTGAGCTGGAACCTGCAATTAGGAGAGACGGATGGATATTGATCTACGGCTTTGTTACTGATCACCTGGAACAGCAAATTGTCCAGAAATTGGCCGTTTCTCAGTGAACTCAAATGATGACTAAATCCAACAAACTGAGACCGAGATTGAAAAAATAGAAATGCGCAAAAATGACAAACAACTTAAACTGAAATCCAGCCTGCAATTTAAAGTGCTTTTTCCCTCCTCTACTATCCATGATGAAAAACAGAAGGAGATGTGGAGGTGAGGAAACACAAGTGCTCTCTGCACCTCCTGACCTTCTCTGCAGATATGAGCTATCGATCGGTGCTCTCACACACCCTCTCTGATCTCTGCAGGAGTTTCTGCCTGATTTAGGAGTGTTCTGGCTGGCCTTTTCTCCTATTCAGACTCCTATAGTTAGTGGCATTTGCCAAGGCATCATCATTGCACAAAGCCTAAAGCCGAAGTTATGTGTACTTTGCTCCATGCCATTTGTGTAATGGACATGAATGATACTTTAAAATTGTGTCATGAGGGTCTGCAGGGTCCCTCACTATGATATAATTTCCTGTTTTATGTTTTTAATGTTCCGTTATGTTGGTTACACCACAAAGTCTGTTTATTAATAAACAATGGAAGCCCGTTTCCGCCACTGAATAAAAAATAAAACAAGGTAATGCGACTTTTTATCTCACACTTCTGACAATTGTGATATACAAAGTCAGAATTACATGATACAAACAAGCAAATCTGACTTGTTTTTATCTTGCAATTCTGACTTTTCTCAGAATTGTGAGATATAAACTCAAAATTGAGAGTTATAAAGTGCAATTCTGAGAACAAAAGTCAGAATTGTGAGATAAAAAGTCGCAATTACCTTGTTTGATTTTTTTATTCAGTGGCAGAAACATGCTTCTATAAAATAACAGTGAAGCAGTACCTTCTTTTACTACTTGCTACTTTCTTTTCAAGAATTTCAATCTCTGAATGAGCCTTTTTCATTATATTACTTTATACCCCCAAAAAATCTGGAAAAAAAATCAGAAATTATAACAAGCTCATCATAGACAAGGTGAATTCAAATCATTGTATGTAATGTATTTTTTGTTAGGGATGGGTGTTATGGCAAAAATAAATCCCTACAAGGAAACAAAAGAATGACAGATCATTTAGACCAAAATAAGGGTGTGTAACATGACCAAAATCTTATTTCACTTATATTTTATTTCAATAATAATCAAAAAAGAGGCACTGAACTGCACTGTCGTAAACTGTAGCCGTAAAGTCAGATAGTGGTTTACTCGTTCACAATCTAATATCATCATATCGCACACCCCTATTATTAGACATATTTAAGACCAGAATATCTTGGGGTTCTCAAAACCAGAACACCTTAGCATGTGGAAGGTGATGAAATATAGAGATATTTATTTAATGAGCGTCTATCTGAGGTGATTGAGAGCACAAGGGAAGTGCAAGCCCTCCATCTCCCTGCCAGTCATCTTTCCTGAAAGCCCCTCTTCCCTCCGGATTTCTTATTTCCTGTCCCCCCCCCCCCCCCCCCCCCCTGGAATTTGCTTATTTCACTTATATTTTATTTCAATAATAATCAAAAAAGAGGCACTGAACTGCACTGTCGTAAACTGTAGCCGTAAAGTCAGATAGTGGTTTACTCGTTCACAATCTAATATCATCATATCGCACACCCCTATTATTAGACATATTTAAGACCAGAATATCTTGGGGTTCTCAAAACCAGAACACCTTAGCATGTGGAAGGTGATGAAATATAGAGATATTTATTTAATGAGCGTCTATCTGAGGTGATTGAGAGCACAAGGGAAGTGCAAGCCCTCCATCTCCCTGCCAGTTATTTTTCCTGAAAGCCCCTCTTTCCTCCAGATTTCTTATTTCCTGTCCCCCCCCACCTCCTGCTGAGATATGCATCTCTTCCTCTCATCTGAAATAAAAGAGGTACGCGGGCTAGCGGAAGAGTGCAGAGATGAGATTTCAGCAGGTGTCACGGTGATGAGGGGTTCTGTGTCAGTAGGATGTCTGGCAGACTGCCATCTGCTGCCACTCAATGACAATGAAGTGAGGTGAGGTGTTGTTCCTACGGCTCTGATAGCCTCAGGATTAGGCTACACGTAGTGTGTCGTTATCCTCAGGAAACTCAGCATTACAAGTTGATCAATTAATATAGTGAAGTAGCTAGTAGCTGCACTGAAAAAGATAACACTGAGGCACAAATTTATTAAACAGTTGTGCCACTTTTGTATGTGCTAACCTGTGTATTATTCACAAACCACCCACAATCCAGTTCATCCAGGTGCCAAGCACTGTGCTGTGGGTATTTACAGTAAATTACATTTCTGTCATTCCTTTCATCACAAACACACCTCCTTTATATGTAAATTAGGTTCATTATAGATTGTGGCTTGCTCACAAAAGGCGTTGTACTATTATATGATGATGTACTGTTTGCCTGCTTACCATCTTTATATGAACTGAAGTTCATATTAAAAAATGATACAAAAGAAAAAAATGTTTCGTAGTTGCATTGCGATTCTCTCTTCAATGATGAAATCTTTATACATTTGCAAATAAAAATTGTTTTAATTTATTGTTAATTTGCAATTGTTTTTTTTAACAAGAGTACTTATAATTAAGGAATTAATGTGTATAAATTAAATATTTCATGTAGTTCAGTTGATTAATTAATAAGAAAAGATCAAGAATAATTTTGATTAAAACCAAGAATAATTTTGGAATCAGATCATGAATCTTACAACTGAAGTCGGATCGAATCGTGAAGTGCCTAAATGTGCACACCCCTAGTAAAAGACATGTTTGTATATATTTTTGATTGATCATGGCAGCAATTATTCATCAAATGATGGAGAACAGAAAGGCATTCTTAGTGAAATCACCCCTTAACATACCAAACTTTCTTCGTATCTCCAGCCTTGTGGACAGTTCATCAGTTTATGTTTTTCAATACATGCATTTTCTTCAAACTATATCAATTGAGTTGACTTTTTGTTCTGCTGATGTAATCATGGAAGCACAGGCTCTCAGTTTCTGAAATACGGGAAAAAAAGGCACACTTCAGTAGACATCCTCACCTGTTCATCATGCGGTCTGTGCCCAGAAGTTTGAGGATGGACTTGCCGTCCATGTCTGGTGGAACGTCCATCCCTGCAATGTCCAGGATGGTGGGGGCCAAGTCTATGTTCAACACGATGTGGGGGTTGCTATGGAAACAGAAGAGGGGGTTTCCATTTGACATAATGGTCAGAAACCAGACGAGCAGTACATAAATACTGACTGATTACAGAGACAGTGATAAAATAGAGAGATCCAGAACTTGCACAAAAACAGAATACAGCTGTACTACACTGAATATTGTAATGAATATAGCCTACACTGCATACTGTTTACAATTAGTATGTAAAACAGTATGCATTATGCAACAATATACTATGTGTCTTAGAAAAGTCATCATCCACTGAGGTGGTGCGCCATGATAGGTGGGAATTTTCTGAATTTCTACAAGTGTACATATATTGATGTACACTTGTTCCCTATGTTTGCTGTCTTTCAGATTGAGCCTATATGATTTGGGATGTCACTTGAGATGGTTGAATACCCAGTGAAGTATTGGGCAATCAGATGCACACTGTCCATGAGCAAAGATGGCAGAATGCAGGTCACATCACCACTGTCCAAGACAATGTTCAAACGTCCCAAGATATTTTCGGGGACTTCTGCTGTTATGACAAAGCTGCTTGTTTTCAAAGGTTTTTTTTTTTTTTTTTTTTTTTTACAATTTATTTATAGAAATAGGAGTGGAGAGGAGAGAATTGTCAATTTATTAAAACAACAGCAACAATAATGCTAATGCTAATAATAATATTAGATTATAGATTTTTAATTATATATTAATTATAATAATTATAATATATATAATATTAATTATAGATTAGAAAAATAATATAAAACAATTAGAAATAGATATAAAATAGCATCAAATAATGAAATGTAATTTCAAAAGATTCAAGAACTGAATGTTCTTCAGGGTTCAATAATGAATTTAAAAGATTTTTCCACTTGTTTGTGATTATGGGATAAGGCTTTTAAAATCATTTTAACTCACAAATGGCATTTGGACCAATCAGACACACAGTTTTTCATTAGATTTAACAAATCAATTATTCATTAGATTAACAAATAATCACAGACCCCTCACCCAATAAACATACTGGGTGCAAGCATGTCTGGGAACGACCCCAGGCCCCTGGTTACCATGGCAACCAGGACACCTCAGCCAGATCAGATAAACTTTTTCGACCTAAAAGTATGCAGAGAGAATCTTCCTCCTACTCAGTTCTCTCTGCTATAGGAAATGACTTCTTACATTAATTCATAGACACAATTTTCTATGATTTTCCTATCATGCATATCCCAAGGTCTTTGTGTATGATTACTACCTCCTTGTATATGGTCTTGTGTATTGTATACTGTTTTAATGCATGCTTATGACAGATCACTAGTTAAGGTAAACTCACCTATACCATGTTTGGCCTCTATGAAATTGTCTTCGGATGATCTAATTGAGAGTGTATATAATATGTGGAAACCGATGCAACATAATAGTGTTCTAAGAATCTTTAATAGTTTGCATATCAACATCCAATCCAGTTCCATATGCAAATTACCATGCTTTCAGACAAAGGGTTATAAAACTCCCCAGTATTTCCAACCTCCTGATTGGAAATTCAGCCTTTCTCATTGGACAAGCCCATCCTGAGAGGCGGGACTCGTCTCAGACTTTAAAGGGCTCACGCACAGTTCCGACCAGGTCTTCTGCTAAATCTTCTGATTGCTGCCCGTGTGGAGAGCCTGAGCCGGTGCGGGCGTGCCCGGTGGGCTCCAACATATAGCCTTTCAGTCTGCGGTCCTGTTAGTTTCTGAGAAGATATGGATGTGAGCTAGAAACTCTTCTGCAACCCTTAAGTCTGCACCAGGCTTCGGCCTAGTCTTTCCACTTTGACTCAAACTGGTTCTTTTCCATCAACCAACTTCAGCAAAGATCAACTTGAGCCTTCAGACTGCATCAGGACTCTCTTTCAAACAGGCGAGACGTGCAAGTATCAAACTTAGTCTTATTAATTGATACATTAAGCATAATTTGCACCTTTTTACAAAGGTAAAGATTTTATCAAATTGTACCACAGCTTCATGTCTTTATTTCTCTTCTCTTTACTGCTTAAGCTTTAACCCCTTTTCCTATGCCAACTGTATGTGTGTGTGTGTGTGTGTGTGTGTGTGTGTATGTTAGACTAGTTTAAGTGTTAATAAAGTCTTACTTGTATCACACTTGAGGTTGTTCATTGTTTGCTCATAACTGGAGTCCCTAATCATGCAGATTTTTGCTACATGCTCTGAGCAGTATTGTACAGTAAGAAAGTTATTTTCCTTAACCAGGAAATTAACGTTCTTAGAATTGACAGACAGTTGACACTGAGATGTCAAGTAAATGCTTACAGCGGATCTAAATATTTATAATTAATTATAACTAGTTATAATTAATTATTCATATTTCCCCTTTGAGCTGATTCGCTACAAAATATTTTAGATCTGGACATAACCAGAAAAATGTATATTCATTATATATATATATATATATATATATATATATAGAAATTTT